AGGTTGTATCGACTACCTCTTCAGACTAAATAGACAGAGGATTATGACAACTCGGGATGATGAAATTATAAAATCTTAATCAAGTTTATCATCATTCCTCCCACAATTCACTTTAAGTATAAGGAGATTAATTCAAATCCTAATTTAATATCTAATTTGTTGATACTAATATAACATATCTATTGATCAACTGTAATCGAAAATTCTCCTGAGGACTAAAATTCTCCTCCGTCCTCATAAAAGATAATTAACCATATGGGCTTAAGCCTATGAGAAACATGAGAACCATATCATGAAGTCCTTAGAAAATAAATGTGAAATCTCTGATAAGTATCTTATCTTTCAATATAACATTCCTTCCAAAAATTTGACGCAACAACATTCCTTAAATCTCTTTCTTAAAACTCTCCCATTGAGAGACTAGGGCACAAATTTTCAAAACCCCCACAAACATAATAAGAAATGCACTTGATAGAAAATAATAAATCTCTCCAAGGCTCTAATTCTTAATTGCTATTACCTTTTACCTCTAATATCGAGATCAAAGATTCAAATCCCTTAAAAAAAGAAGAAAAAAAAAAAAGGTTTCTAGACTTGGATAGGGTGCTTCATGTGTGTAATGCAAGCAAGGCTTCCAGAAATTTGCAATAGAGTTTCCATCTCTGCATAATACACTGTAGCCCACATAAATCCATCAAGAAAAAATTTGCCGATTAATTTAAGTATTTGTAGTAAGAACATAAGAAAAAAATGAATCAAATCATATCAACATTTATCTGTTTTTTATTGTAATGATAGAAGTCACCTCAGAAAGGTGACACCAACAGTTTTCTTCAATAATTCTTGAGCAGTGAGATGAGTGCATCTCTAACCCACCCAAGGGAATTCTCATGACTGCTGCAATTGAACTCGTTCCTTATAAGACCCTCCAGTGACCATCCAGTCTTTTCAGAAAATACACGGTCAATATTTTTTATGTCGATTCCAGAGCGTGTAACCAACGTTCTGATAAGCACTTCCTGAGAATCTCCAGTCACCATTGCTCTGCGTAACTGCTTTTCGAAATGCTTCTCTGGGAACTGAATGCATCGGATTACAGCTCGGAGTTGGATTCCGAATTCACCGCTGTTATAATACTTCAGGAACTTCATGAATTCGTGGCCAAAGAGTTGCTTGAATGACGAAAGAATTGTCTTTATCTGGTCTATGTTCCTCAGACTCAGAATAGAAATGACGGAATTATGATCAATGAATTTGCTACTTGTGATTGCTTCATAGAGGATCTTCGCATCACACAGAGCCATACTTGTGTCGAACCTTTCTCCACTGTAAGTTGAATTCAAGATGGCTGAAATAATCTGAGGAATTCAAAGTTTCACTTTTTTAAAAGGTAAGTTTGCTAACAAATAAGCGTATAACACAAGAGTCATACTGTGTTCAGATGTATAAATCTTCAAACTTTATGTTTAAAAAACAATGATTTTAGATATATGCACCAGAAAAATCAAAATCTGATTTTTTTTATTGGGAATAGTGAATGAATGAATGAAGGACTAAAGCTGGGTCTGATATAATAACAGTCAAATTCATTTTAAAACTAATAATATAAGCATGTTGGTGAGGTCCAACTACTCGAAATTATCATTTAATATATTTTTCAGCTCTCTGATATGGAACTAAACTAAAAGCTTTCACATGCCTTAATAATCTACCACTCACATCAAAGTTTTTCACATCAGTCATCACTCTGTTACGGGCAGAAGGCTTCTGCCTGGCTCAGCAGAGCCGAACCCAACAGAGGGGCTGGGCAGGAACCAAATCAGCAGGGGGTATTCGGCGCCCCAGCTTGTGGGGCCCAAGAAAGCTATAATTCATTATGTAAGACGGAGAAATCTCGGGAGAGATAATTAAAAAGGTTTTAATGATAATTGAGAGAGAATTATTTATGAAAATAGTTTAAAATTGTGAAGAAATAACTAAGGAAATGAGACTAATTTGGGAGGGAAGTAGGGGAACCTATTTAGAGCTAACTATGTATTATTTTCAGTTGATGCAATTGATTTCTGTTATAGTTTTGTTTTGAAGTAGTTCCTAGCGACGTCTAGGATTTGTGGGAGAGTCAATCTACCTCTCAAATAGTAGATCAGTTGTATCTTATTTTCTTGTTGAGGTATTAATAAAAAATCAGTCCCTATCTTCAAGTTCCTATAGTTTCTACTTGTTCTTTTGTTATTTTTACTTCCAAAACGTATCGCACTCCCCCTTAAATAGTAAGATACTTATCAAATATCATGCACAAAGAGCCCACTCAATCATGTGAATCATTTATGAACATACAAATTTTGCTAAACATGATAAAAGGCAGACAAGACCAATGGACCCACAAACCAAATTAACTTGATAATAATATAATCATTGATCCTAACATAATTTGTTAGGGAGTGCACATTAAAGGAGGACCAAAGTTAAATTTGATGCACCAGTGGACAAATACATTTTCGATTTAAAAACTTAAACTTATGAATATGGCCAATCACTTGATAATTTTATACCAACATGTTAAATCCAAGATTCTACCATGATTTAGACTTTATTTGGGACAATATTCTTATTGCTTTCTGAAACAAAACAATTTAATAGTGCAAAAAATTCTTCAAAGCAACAAAAAATTGTGATCAAAAGCTATCCCAATTCTCAAATGAAGACTTAATCTTTTTTTGGAAAATATATATTTTTGTTCACAAATCTAATTTGATGTATGATATTACGATGTTTAAGCTCATGCCAGAGCTGGAAAATATGCATGCTTCATAATGAAGACATTAGAGTGGACTCTTCGGATTCAGTGGTGCATAGTTCTTGGCTTTACCAAAGTTGGTTGGTGTATAAGAGAGTTTGCACATGCAAAAAGATATGTTAAGCATCAAGAGCTTAGCCTTCTATCTTTAAGCCTAAATCAACTAGTCGAAAGAGGATGTAGATACATTCATTTTGAATCACCTATAAACTTGTGAGTTTTAAGTAGACCGGACCACTAAAATCAAACCCAACTTGATCAACCGTTCATATACAATAACATCTAGCTCCTATATTTAACAATTAAAATATATTATTTTTCCACCCATCACTTTATGCTTTTTTGTTGAAATATATACTAATCAGTAGCACTTCAAGCATGCGGAAAGGTTCATCCACAAGCTCATAAGCTCATCCCTTCAAATTTATAGATTTGTTCTATTAGATATGGGGCTAAAAGAGATGTCATAACGGGCTCAAGGGTGGTGTTTAAACTTCATCTTTTAAATGCTCATAATTAGCTAACATCATCTGTAGCTCATCATCACATGTCGCCAACCATTATAGACTTCCGACAGGCGACAACCATTATCCTTGTGCTCAATCACCATCATCGATCATTTTCTGCTGACCATTACCATAATAATACAATAATTCTGACTGGCTCTAATCAAAATTTTATTCAAATAGGTTTGATTCAATTTCTACTTAAAATCGATTGAATTTCTAGTTTTGGTCATTCTCATCAATCCTGCCAACAATTTTGACAACTAACGGGACATAATTAGTATTGATCAGTTAGCCCATAATCAATTATAGTTTAAATAGGTATTAATGGGACCAAAATCATCATTAAACTGGCCTAGCCGAAGCACCTGATAAGCATTTATGAGGCTTGGGTAACCCATTTGATATCAATCGCCACTGATCCACACTTCGAAACACCTAAAATAACATGGGTGTGACAGCCATGGAATTTGCTCTATTCCCACACGCAGAATCAGGAAAGATAACATCAGAGCGTGGAAGCAGTTTTCACATGTTTTTTTTTAGGAAAAGCAAAACAATTACCTCTTTCAAGCTACCATTTGCCTTTGTTAAGATATCTTGCTCAAGTAAGGAAATGTATTTCACCCGATATGCTTGCTTAATTGATAGTAGCTCTAATGAAGATCGAGTGCATATGATTTCCATGACAAGTTTGAGGTCAGTCTTATTAGCATACATTGCTCTTCGAATTATCTCTGCATCTCGATCACTGGGCTCACAAAGTTGAAGATACACCATATACTGCATGGAAAAAAGAAAAGGGAAAATTAAAAAGAGAACTGCCTCACTAGTGACAAAATGCATTGTAAGTGGTTTAAATGAAAAAATATATTGAAAAAAAAAAACTCTACCGAGAAAAGATCATTGTTTTGTGATAGGGTGTAAAGAACTTCCTGGTCATAAAGATCACGTAAGGTCGGACGAAAAAGTTGGAGTTCTCCACCATCCCTGTGATTGTTGATCTCCATCGCATTTCGTTGGTCACTAGAGCCATTATTACCTGCAGTTTACGTACCCAATAAAGTCATACATAGATGTTAGAAAATAACTTTAAGCTATTAAAAATAGTGATTCTCTTTGACAATTATAGAATTCTACATAGTGGCTATCATAAAATTTTAAATAAAGACGACCACAAATTTATAAATGAAGGCTATCATAAAATCCTATATGGAGGATACCAATATATCATAAAAGCCTACAATGAAAGCAAGTCATCAAAGGTGGTTGATCATTATTGAAAGGTGAATTTGTTAACATAATAATAAGCAAATAAAGATCAGATTAAGAGAAAATGAAGAGAGAACAAGTTCTAGTAGTAAAGAAGAGAAGAGAAAAAAATGAACAGAAAAGGGAACAAAGAACAAGTTTTAGTAGTAGAGAAGAGAAGAGAAGAAGATTCATCATCTCCTCAGCCATCATCTTTATAATAGGTAGGTGTATTTTCATTCAATAGTTAACACAGACAAAAAAGAGTATTTATCCTAAATCATATGAAGTATAATCTCTATATGCATCTTTTTTAAACTTTGTTGGAATATTAAATCTCTGTGCGGCTGTGAATATAGGTAAAAGTTCACCGAACAGTATAAATGTGTCTTATATTTGAGGCATTCGGTAATCAAACAGATATTGTTCGGCAATAATGTTTGGACGATGACAATCAAATGATGAGAAATTTTTTATGATAGATGGGCTGCAGTTGTCAAACAATAATGCTCTGATGGTTGAACAACAATAGTCGGATGGTGGCGGTGGTTGGCGATGATCATCAACTTCATCCATCAGATAAAGCTCTAGAATTGATTAGATCTCCTAGCTCTTTACAATCTCAATTACAAGGTGCCCCATCATTAATGGGGGTTATTTATATTATTTCGAAGTGTCATGTTCATAAATCTAGCAAAAAATATATGATACTCCATTGAACGATCCATATTAACTCCTTTGATCGTATATCATTTATTCAACAATCCAGATCCAAAAAATTGCTTAGACATTTTTAATATAACTCAAACAAGCGAATAATAATATTTTCCAAGGACATAAGCAAATAATTTAAACTGTTATAGTTTATGCCTACAAAGGATGTCAATGAATGCTCTTCAAACCTGCTGGTAAGAGATGACAGGACTTCTCATAAGAGATTTTTTCGAC